CGTATCATTTGATGCACCTTCCATGCACTTTTTTCTGGGTATGGTGTTAAATTGTCCCAGAATGTTTCTATGCAGAATTTGGAGGTTCTAGGCCCAGCGGTTCCCGAGATACGAGGTGGAAAGGAATTTTTGTCAACCAGTATAGGCCACATATTAATTCCTGAAAGTCTCAACTCTCGCTTTGCAGGCGCAGCCAAGAAATTCAACAATATTTGCGGCCGAGAGAGTCCGCAAAATGCGGAGAGCGGTCAGGGAAATCATTGAGAACTTTTGGCCATATCTTTTCCACTTCAATACGGTAGAAACATATATCAATCCTCTGCAAAAGAGACCTATGTATATATGAGACTCTTGATGTGTTCTAGCGGCTTTGCGAATCTACTGGTAAAATTCTCGGTCGTTTCTGCAAAATGCAAACCAAAAATCTCGCATATTTTTTATCAGTCTGTCGGGAAAATAATGAAAACTCTGTCGCATCGAGAAAATGAATAGTTTTGCGGCAAGATCGAAATGCTTTTTATTTCAGCGACATGATCGACGTAGCGATATTGAGACCATTATTTGTTGGACAGACTAGTGATATACCGTGTGCCAAGTTTCATTAAAGCTTGATATCTTCATTTTTCTTTATATTTTCGTATTTTTTATATAAATAGCTTACTCTCTAACCTACCAAACACTTCAACAACGCCTTTATACCCCAAGTGTTTATCGTCTGTGCAGAGGATTTGCGTAGTCGTCCCGAAAACAATGGGCCCTATTTTTGGAGCCGTGGGTGGATTAGGATTAGGAAACAATATAAACACGGTATCGCGGATAAAGCCATGTTTCCGTCGGCGGTTCGCGGAACGGATTTACTTTGTCATATCCGTGGGGGTATTCGCGTAGCGGGGCGGCTGGTCGACGGTCGAATACGGCGAACGTATTTGTCGAATTGTTCGAGAAATCGGCTGGTTTGTGGTCAGAGAGAAAAGATAATGGAAGAGTAAAAGGGGGAGTTGGGGGATTATCAGTGTGTCGGGAAAATAATGAGCACAAAAAAATAATGAGCTCAATCAGGTCGCTGAAGTGAAAAGAAATTTGATTTCAGTGGCACAATTCATTTTCTCATCGGCGATGCGATTTTCGAACGACAGAGTGCTCATTATTTTTCCGACAGACTGGTTGGAGAAGTTGCAGGCAATTTTTGAAGACTATAGTGGCAAGATAAAGAAGTTACAACCCGAGACAATTCGGGACTTTTTTTTAATAGGTAAGTTGAAGAAAGGATACCTTAAGACTGTATAAAGCGAAACTTCTCTGCAACAAACTCTAGTATAACGAAGGTTTTCTATAACGAACCCCAGAGGTCGCTAGTGCCAATCTCACAAGGGAAAGTCCACAAGGGCGACGCCCAGAAAATTTCTTCAAACCTTACACACACTTTGGGCATATATAGACCACATATCAATCTCAGAGAGTCTTAGTTCGCACTTTCCAGGCCCAGCCGAGATATTCAACGATCTTTGCGGCCGAAAGAGTATGAAAAATGCGGATAGCGATCATGGAGAAAAACGCTTTTTGCCCATATCTTTGCCAGTTTCGTGTGGAAACAATTCATTTCATATGGCAACATTACTGCGTACGATAGGAATAGGCATGAAACTTTTCACGCCAAAACTTGCCAAAAAGTGTCGCATTTTTCGCCAAGTTTCGATCTAAAAATCTCGGTTGTTTCTGCAAAGCGCGAGCTAGAAATCTGGCATATATCGCCTGATTTTACAGTAATTTTTTTAAAAACCCTTAGGGCATGAATACAAAAAAAAATTTTTTCCAAATGCTCTTTTTGCCCTAGAAGTTTAATACATATGTATTATATTTATGGCCGTATTCTGTTGCAAAATAGTCCTTTTATGTTATAGAATTATCTATGTTTAGCTTACCTTTCCCTCCAAATCCTTCCATGCCCATCTAATCATACAAAAATAACACGTGCTGATCCCTTGCAAAGACACTTGTTGACGTCGAAACCGCGGATGATATATGCCGTTATCTCTTATCCCAAAATAAATAAGTCTTTCATCCGCAGAAATCCCACTCTTGACCTGCTATATATTCCGGTTCTCTGATATGCAAGCCGGATGTCGTCCAAATCAAAAACATGTTGTCCAAGTCAAATTTTTGATACAAAAAAAAGAATTATTTTTTAGGAAATTTCCGCATGAATTGGAGAGTTAATCTGATGTCTGGTGCGGTATATGTACGCAAATCCTGTGTAGCCAAAATGCTTGAAAAGAAAAATTGGAGGAGATGATTTCCGGCAAAGCATCAGCTATAAATTTTGGATGACTCTGCCAGAAATGTAGCTTGAATTGTAGGAAGATTTATCGAAATCTGCGAAATTCTTTTTGTCATACAAAAAAGAGAATTGGAAGAAATTCTCCTCTGCAGCGCGGACCCGATTCAGTGGCAAAAAACGTACCATTTTGCATCCGGGAAGTATCGAAAAATGTGGCAAAATGCTTCCCTCTCCAAGTGAAATATTTAACTTCGTTTTGAAGGGAAAAGCGTGCGCGTTTTTGAAATCTGAGTTTTTTCACTTGGGAAGGGAGGCATTTTGCCACATTTTGATGCTTCCCGGATCCAAAATGGTACGTTTTTTGCCACTGGATCAGGTCTCCCTCTGAACGATACTCTAAATCTACGTTTCAGAGTGATCTTTCTATCAGTCTGTCGGGAAAATAATGGCGGACCGTCGCAGCGTTTCGCCTCAAAAAAACGCGTCAGCACCCCGAAATCCTAGCCGCGGCTAGCCGTCGATAATAGGCGATTCCAATGCACGACGAAACCACATTATTTTCCCGACAGACTGATACAAAAACTAATTTTTTTTGGCACAAAATTGGACAAGATTGTATAAATTTATCATCAAAAAGTGTTTCCATCTCACTCTCCGCGTTTTGCGTACTCTCTCGGCCGCAAAGATCGTTGAATACCTTGGCTGGGCCTGCAAAGCGAGGGATCAAACTTTCCGGAATTGATATGTGACCCATGCCCGAGGTATGCGCAAAATTTGAAAAAAATCTGAGCGCCGCACTTAGGCTACTCCCTTGTAAAGTTAGGGCGCAGCTTGGAAAAAAATATTTTTATTTTATACGAAAGCGCTTTTGCTAACGGTCAAAAAATGGCCTCAACTTAAGTTTTATACTCTAAAGTTTCCTTTTTCAGTCTGTCGGGAAAATAATGAGCTCAATGTTGATGTCCCGATCGTGTCGCTGAAGTGAAAAACAATTTGATTTTGTCGCGACGCAATTCATTTTCTCGGCGGCGATGCGATTTTCGATGCGGCAGAGGGCTCATTACTTTCCCGACAGACTGATAACTTCCCTAAAACGGCCAAATACCCATATTTCAAATTGTGGCTAGGACGCAGCTCGGAGAAAATAAGCTAATTCATTAATTGGACCCGTAAAAATTGCCCTCTATTCTGCGATCCTCCCCTCAAACCACTACCCGTTCATATCCCTTCAAATTTCAAGTCGGATATTTGTTCAAACCGGCTATAAACTAATTTCAACTCTGTCCATTTTTAGCCTCCAAAACAACCGGCTTAACATTGTAGAATATTACGCAAATTGGGTGTTACAATGTCGCCTAATCCCTCGTACAGTAAACTATCGCCATATCCGGCGCTCATTCGGCGCAGGAAGTACGTTGATGCCCGGCGAATATTGCTACGGTTCCTGGCGTGCATCCGGCCTGCGAATGTGACGGATTCCCGTAAATCTCTGACATATTTGGAGGATTAGCGGCCCAAATGGAGGCTTGATTAGTTTTCGGAATTTTAGCGCGTTGATGAAAAGTTTTGGTTGAAAACATGGTTAAAAAAAGGAAATGTTTTTTTTTGCTGATAAGAAAACTTTTTCAAGTGCGAGACGCACATTTTCTTTAAAGTTTTCACACACGGGCATACGGCACAAATCAATTCCTGAAAATTCCAGCTCGTGCTACTAGTTGTTCCAGAAAGTGCGTAGAATTTTTGTATTTTTGTCGTAGGCCGCACTATGCAGAAAATTTTCCTTTTTTGCGGGGTGTATCTGACCCTTGCACCGTGCAGGTCCATTATCGCTACGACCCACGCTTTTCTCAACGAATCCGGCGCGAATTTTTAGAAAAAAACGTCTTGCGTACTCGTCCGCAAAGCTCGTCGAATATCTTGGCTGCGCTTGTAAAGTGGGGGCTAAAATTAAGGAATTGATATCTGGCCTATGCCCAAAGTGTATGCAGAATTAAAAGAGAATCTGAGCGTCGCACTTGGGGTATTTGACTTGCTAATGTTTGATCGTTGCAAAATTGGTGACAAAAAAGGCAGATTTCTATCGGTTATGGTATCGCAGAAAACATGTGCCCTCTGAAAAGTCACGTTTCCAGATGTAAAAATATCCTAATTGGGAAGTAATTAATTCAAATTAGTTACACTGTATTTGACCTGCTTACACTCATTCTACTTCCTCTAACCTATGATACGTTGTTTGTTATGTATTTTTCGATGATTAGCAGCTGTATTTTTTTTAAACGTCAACTCTATCGAATCCGACATTTCTTGGTGATTTTCAACCGAAAAACTCTGAAATTTCTCGATCATTTTCAACCGAAAAACCCTGGTTTTCGGGGTAAAAGAGTCATTTTTCAAAAGGTTGTAGCGACCTCAGTTTGCACTTAAAAATCTTGTTATTTCGTAAGCAAAAAATAATGTCGCTGAAATATACAGGGTGGTCCAGCTAAGTTCGCGGATGTAAAATGCTTATAACTTTTTATAGGATTGTTCAATTTTTATGAGCAATAGCTCATTTTATTCCTTAGTAGTTGCCATTTTGTTTAAAAAAAGATCATTAAAAACGATCAATCCTACGTCGAGTTATGACCCTTCAAAGTCAACATGCTTTTTCACGTAAATTTAAAAAAAAATTAATTTTCAAAAATTTTTGAATTGCGGTGTCACCGCTCGCTGTTACCGGCAAATGATGGTGAACAGAGTGATCCCAGCTATGCAAAATTGGCCCAATTTTGCCAGTCTTTGGTATTCTTCCATAATTTGGCGCCTCATTTGTTCATCCTGGCGAACTCGTTCCACCTCTTCTTCGATTACGCGCTTCAATCCCACTGTTTTAAGAACCCCCAAATGGAGAAATCTAGCGGAGTTAGATCAGATGAACGCGGGGGCCAAGCAATTGGAGCTGGTTGCCGCGCAGATCCCCGGCCCATCCAACGACCTGGAAAAACCTGGTCAAGGAGTTGACGGACCGCTATAGCAAAATGAGGTCTTGTTGAAAAACAAGACTGGCAAAATTGGGCCAATTTTGCATAGCTGGGATCGCTCTTTTCACCATCATTTGCCGGTAACAGCGAGCGGTGACACCGCAATTCAATAATTTTCGAAAATTAAATTTTTTTTAAAATTTACGTGAAAAAGCATGTTGACTTTGAAGGGTCATAACTCGACGTAGGATTGATCGTTTTTAATGATCTTTTTTTAAACAAAATGGCAACTACTAAGGAATAAAATGAGCTATTGCTCATAAAAATTGAACAATCCTATAAAAAGTTATAAGCATTTTACATCCGCGAACTTAGCTGGACCACCCTGTACATATTCCAAAAACCAAGTCTCTGCGCCGCCTCCGCCGAAAGTTATAGCCTCCTACTTTCTTTCACATTTCTTGAAAGACCCTGTAGTTTACAGCAAAATCTAAGGCTTTTCCAAATTAAAAAGCATTTTTGCAAAAATGCTTTCCCCCAAAATATTGAATTCAAAAGTCTTCCAATTGCGTAACATTTGTTTTGGGATTACTTTTGACAATTAATCGAATTCAGTCGTATATAAATATTGCAATTATCCTCCCATTAATCCGGGATAATTAATGTGGCGAACGTGACACAAAAGACGCAGATTCGACTCAAGCACGTGTACTTCCAACATGTTTACAGCAAATTATATTGCAAATGTAAGGGTAGTGAATATTTTCCGGGGGTTTGCGATTTGACGTCAAGATGAGGGTTTTGGAGATGGGGGATAAAGGGATATGCGTAAAGTCACAAAATTACTCTGGAATTTGGGGATTTGGCGCGAAAGATTATGCATGTCACAAGGGAAGACCTTGAAAAATATTTTGGATGTGTTTTTTGCAAATCTTGAAAACCTAAAATACGAAAAATTTGGAAATAAAAAACTACAGTAATCCAAGAATATCTCATAGTATGATTCTTGGATTTTCTTCAAACTTGGCCAGGGTGTTCAATCTAGATTACATATCAATTCCTGAAGATTTTAACTCGCGTTATATAGGGGCAGCCAAGATATTCGGCGATCTTTGAAGGCAAGAGACTATGGGAAATGAGGAGAGACGGTCAGAGAAAAATTAAAAAGCCTTTTTCGACAGGCCTTTGTGGATTTTGCGAGCTCAATAGCATTTTTAGCACCTTTTTTGTTGATTTTTAGGATAGTAAAATACGACGCAAAGGTACTTACAATAAAAAATACAGTAATCCAAAAAAACCCAAAAAAAAAATTTTTTTCGTATTTCCTTCAAATTTAGCGCAAATGCTCCACAAAAACCAATTATTAATCGCTGAAAATTTTAACTCGCGGTTTACAGAGACAACCGAGATATTCACTCTAAAAAATTCTAATTTTAACCGGATTTCGACCAAAAATTTTCGATAATTTCTACCAATTTCGAGCCAAAAAATCTCGACAAATATTGACAGAGCCCCATAGATCTATAGTTTCCCCTGACATTTCCGCTAATTAGCGAGGAAAAACAAGAATTTCCAAACTTTTTTGAAACTTTTTGTCTTTTTGGTCGTTCAAGATGAGGGTATAATCCATTTCCCCAATGTAATCTCCAAAGAGGCTGTGTTACTCTACAACGGGCCTTTATGTAGTATTAGAAATTAACAGAGATGGTTTATCTCCGGGGCAGATTAGGTGGGCAAAATCTTAATCGGTTTCTGAAGTGCTACGTGAGTTTAGGCATTATTGAGAGAAAGGTGGGTAGCTGGTGATCGTATGTTCAGATTGCCTTGAAATTTGGAACATGTAGTCTATAGAAGCTAAGAATTAGTTGTTAAAAATTTTAGCACTTGCGCTATAAGGAACGCCGAGATTTTCAACAATCTTTGCAGAGCGAGAGACAATGGAGAATGACGAGATCTGGTCAAAGAAAAAATGTTTTTTTTGGCTGAAAATTTTTGAGATCTTGGCCAAGGGTCCAACTTCGCTAAAATAGCTTACAATTTGTCTCCAAAGAAGTTTAAAAATTGCAAATTCAACGATCGCTACAAGAGCTCAAAGCCCTTCATAATTTACGACCTAAAAATTTCGGATGTTTCAGTAAAGCGCAAGCTAAACAAAAAATTCTGATGTGTGTTAGAGGACTCTAACTTAAATTTGTCCCCAGGTCAAAATCTGAGTGTCGCGCATCACAAAACTTGCCTATATCTGGACTACCAACACAACCCGGAAGTCACAAATTGACGCATAATTCAAAGAGACAGACTTTTCATACACTTGCGCTAAGCTCCACCATATTTAGCGGAGCATGACCAACTAGAATCAATAAAGATCACAGTAGAAACTTTGTACTACAAATCCTCCGTACAACATTTAACTTGGGCTATATACGGACAGCCGAGGTATTAAACGCTCTTTGAAGAATACTATGAGAAATGAGAAGAGACGGTCAGACAAAAAGAACTTTTCATTCGGGCCTTTGTGGATTTTGCGAGCGTAATAGCACTTTTCAAAGCCTTTTTAAGAACTTTTAGCTTAGTAAAAGACCAAAAATGACATAACAAAAATACGGTACTCCACGAAGCACTATCATTACGGTGACTTTGCAAACGGACTAGTAGGCCAAAATGAACCAAATAAACCTCCGTTCAACGAACTCCTTCTATTGAAAATAACTTTTCATCCCTTTCGATTTGTTGCACAGAGATTTTACTGTGTTCACGGCTTCTTCTCAGAACGATATACCCATATCATCTATGTATATATATCTAGCGCCCACAAACAATATAACCCCTTCTTCTCCGAATCCGACCTCTTAACATGTCTCCCTCGCCCACCGGACGTTTGTCTACCGTTTCGCCCTCAAATCCGTCGCAAACCCCGGCTTCCAACAACACACATATATCTTACACTTCCAGGAAGATATCACCTCCTTTAACCCGCCGTTTTAGCCGGTAATCTTTTCGCAAAACCCCAAAAATTCGCTATAAACAATAGTCAGCGTTTCGAGGGATCTGATGTCCCAAAGTTTGCCGCTTTGCAAATCCTAATCTCGCCTTGCGATTCGCGGGAAAAACACGGCCAAATCCCGTGGCATTTCCACTTGCAGCCCGCGCTGAAGACTGATATCACGCCGCTGCAGGGATTTGTGACATCTTTCGCTTACGCCAATCTGCGTATATGGGATTAGCACCTGTTTTGAACACGAAACTCCACTGCCTCGGCGGATTACGGGCCGTCTCGCATTCCCTATTGTTGATTATTGAGGGTGTTTGGAGACACGAATAGAAGCCGGATTCGGACTCAATTAGCGGCTGCAAAGATAATGGGCGCATTATCTGGACTTTTAGTCTTGATACGATTGGCCTGTTCGCTAACAGGGGAAGTACCCCAAGTGCGACGCTTAGATTTTCTTTAAGTTTTGCACATACGTCTGTCATGAACCAAATATCAATTCCTGAAAGTTTTAGCTTGCGCTTTGCAAGCGCCGCTGAGATATTGAACGATCTTTGCCGCCGAGAGAGTACACTAAACGCGGAGAGCGGTCAGAGAGAAAACCGCTTTTTGGCCATAACTTTGGCAGTTTCGCGCCGAAAAAATTGATTTTTTGTAGAAACATTCTCCTTTACGGTAGAAATAGGCAAGAAACTTTTCGTGCCGAAATTCGGAAAAAAGTGTCAAATCTTCGCCGACTTTCGATCGAAAAATCTCGGTTTTTTCTGCAAAGCGCGAGCTAGGATTCTCGCATATATCTTAGAAAAAATATTCTAAATTTGTGCCAAGTTTCATCAAAATCTGAGCGTCGCACTTGGGGTACTTCCCCTGTAAGCTGAAGTGATTTTAGGAATACAGTTTCCCATACAGGCCACATATAATCACTCCAAATTAACTTGCGTTATATAGGGACAGCCAAGATCTTCGTCAATCTTTGAAGACGAGAGACTATGGGAAATGAGGAGAGACGGTCAGAGAAAAAAAGAAAGTGACTTTTTCGACGGGGTCTTTGTGACTTTTACGAGTGCAACAGCATTTTTAAAACCCTTTTTTGTAAATTTTTAGCACAGTAAAATACGTAAAATTATAATACATAATAAAAAATACAGTAATCCAAGAAAAACAGAGGACAAAAATTCAAGGTAGGAATCTTCAAATTTGGCACAAATGCTCTACAAAGACACGCATTAAGCCATTAAAAATTTTACTCGCGCTTTGCGGAGACAACTAAAATATTCAATACAAAAAAATTTTGAATTTTAAGCCGATTTCGACCCAAAAAATTTCATGATTTCCACCTTGGATGTCCTGAGATAATAAACAAGTCGACTCGACTTCAACAGTAAACAAGAATTTCAAAAATTTCGAAAAATCGTTTTCTAAAAAGTCCAGGTAGGCGATTTAAAAAGCGAAAAGCCTCCTAATTTATTCAGATTTCGAATTTGAACGCTCCGGAAAAAAGTTGAAACAATAGTCAAAAAATTTCGAAAAAGAGCGAGTTTGGCCAACGGATACTGTAGTTTGAATGAGCAAAAGTTGCAAAAATACAGGGAAAAAACGGAAATAAAATATAAAGCAGAAGCAATCAAAAATAAAGAATTTTTCTATCTATCAGTCTGTCGGGAAAATAATGTGGACTCAAAAAACGCATCGCCGCCGAGAAAATGAATTGTGTCGCGAAGAAAATCAAATTGCTTTTCACTTCAGCGACGCGATTGGCGCTGTGACATTGTACTCATTATTTTCCCGACAGACTGAAAGAAAGTTGAGGGGATTTTTTTGGGTTGATGAAACAGTTTTTGGTGACATTTTATACGATAAAAGTTAAATCGGCGCTAAAATGAATAAATATCAGTCTGTCGGGAAAATAATGAGCACAATGTCGCTGCACGGATCTCGTCGCTGAATTGAAAAGCAATTTGATTTTGCCGCAACACAATTCGATTTCACGACGGCGATGAGATTTTCGATGCGACAGAGATCCCATAAAGTGCACATTATTTTCCCGACACACTGATAAATAAA